CAACGTAACACTTCCACCACACTTTGTAGAGCATTGTAACACTCCCACCACATCTTTTAGAACAATGTAAAGTTTGTAACACTTCTATCACACCTTGTAGAACAATGTAACACTTCCACCACATCTTGTAGAACATTGTAACACTTCCACCCTTGTAGAACATTGTAACATCCCACCACACCTGAAGAACAAATACCCCATCACATCTTAAAAAGCAAGGTAACACTTCCATCTCGCTTTGAAAACAAAGTAACACTCCCTTCACACTCTGAAGAACAAAGTAACACCCCCAATGCCTTGAAGAACAAGCAAAGACTTCCACCCTACCTATAAGAAACGGGTAACGCTCCCATCACAGTTTGTAGAACAAGTTAACACTCCCACCACACCTTAAGAACAAGGGAAGACTCAGTAGGAGCCATGAGACTGCAACCCGTTCTAGACTCAGTCCATTCCATCCAGCGGTCGACCATAAAGACGCATTCATCAATTTTTACATGCTGTTCATTCAAAACAGGAATTTCCTCAAATATAAATTAATATTATAGTATATTAGCATACTGTGTATATATAGGCATAGGTTAGGTTAGTGTAGGTGTTTAGATTCTGTTGGCGATTTTTTGTATTTGTGGTACGTGGGTGAAGCCTTGTGGTTCGAACAAAATTCGTCAGTGAAGCACTTGTTCCGGAAGTCGTCCGAACACTTCCGGAACAAGTGCTTCGCTCACGTCCTCTGTTCGAACCACAATTCTATAAATGCTTCACCCACGTACTTTAAATACAAATCCTCGCCAACAGAACCGAAACACCTAACCTAACCTAACCTAACCTAACCTACGCCTAACTGTACATATAATTTTTACGTACAATAATATTAATTATATATGAAAATCAACCAAATTTTAATACACAGTAAGTTAAACTTTATGAATGCGTCTGTGGAGGATGGCTGCTGCTTTAACCAGCCTAGTGCGAGGACGCGGGTTATTATACATCACGTTAATGTGATTTCTTTGTAGCTTTCTTATTCTACACCTTACCCGTCACTACCTTCCCTACCCTTCACTACAGGGAAAGGGAGAGGGAGGGAAACTACATTAGTTTCTCTAATGTAGTTTATTTATTGACGATGACAGTGTTCAGTAGAAATTGTTAAGAGGGATGAATTGATAGTGGTGAAGATCGAGGTGGTGGTGACAGGTCGGATAGATGGTGAAGGCGCGGAAGGTGATGAAGGCAACCCGTTCTCGCATACAAAGATCCAAGCTCATTAATCCAGCCGTCAAACCACCTGTTTACGAATGAAAATCGGTTTACACACGACTCACAACTGATGACGTCCGAACACTTCCGGAACAAGTGCTTCGCTCACGTCCTCTGTTTTATCCACAATTCTATAAATGCTTCACCCACGAACTTATAAATCAGCCCGTCCTCCAAATAAAGATCCAAAAGTGATTCCATGCACCCACCAAACCCCCTGTTTATGAATGAAAAGCGGGTTACACACGACTCTCAACTGCTGACGTTCGAACATATCCGGAACAAGTGCTTCACTGACGAATTTTGTTCGAATCACAAACCGGACCGGGCCGGGCCGCGGGGACACTAAAAAGCCCCGAAATCATCTCAAGATAACCTCAAGATAAGATAACCCTGTCAATTCCTCTGAGAATTTTGTAGGTTGTAGTCATGTCTCCCCTTAACTCTTCTGTCTTCCAGGGGACGTGAGATTTTAGTTCCTGTATCCTTTCCTCGTAACTTATAACTCTAAGTTCTGTGACTAGTTTGGTGGCATACCTCTGAATCTTCTCTAACTTTGTCTTGTGGTTAACTAGGTATGGACTCTAGGCTGGAGCTGCATATTCCAGGATTGGTCAGACATAAGTAGTATACAAGGTTCTGAATTATTTCTTATACGATTCTAAAGGCAGTTCTTATGTTGGCCAGTCTAGCATATTTCCGCTGATGATATCCTTTTGATGTGGGCTTCTGGGGAAAGGTTCGGTGAGATATCAACCCCTAGATCTTTTTTGCTACTCGACTCTTGCAGGATTTCACCGCCCAGATTTCAGATCTGGGAGGTGAGATTTCAGAACACCTTATGTTCAGGCATCTGTTCCTTTCACCTAATTTCATTACTTTACACTTTCCTCAGTTAATCTTTAGTAGCCGTTTTCTAGACCATTCCTCCAGTTTGTCCCGGGTGTCCTGTAGTCTCTGTGTATCTTCATCTGTCTTGATTATTCTCATAATTTTTGCATCATCAGCAAACATTGAGAGGAATGAGTCTGTACCCTCGTTTACATACATCAAAAAACAGGGTGGGTCCAAGTACAGAGCCCGTGGGACTCCACTGGTGACATCTCTTCACTGATGTCTGCCCCCTCAGTTACTCAGCTTCCTGTCGCTTAGATTCTCTCATATCCACTGGAGCACCTTACGTTTTACCCCGTCTGTTCCTTCAACTTTCGTAACAGCCTCTACTGTGTCACAGTTTTCAGATAGTCTAAAAAAAATGCAGTCTGCCCACCCTTCTGTTTCTTGCTTAAGTGTTATCGCCTGGTCGTAGAATTCTATTAAATCTGTGAGACATGTTTGCCATCCCCGAACCCATGCTGGTGGTGTGTCACGAAGTCCCTTCTCTCCATATATTTGTCCTGCGAGCCTTTTCCTCACGATCTTCTCCATCACCTTGCATGGTATACAAGTTAGGGACACTGGCCTGTAGTTCAGTGCCTCTTGCCTGTCACCCACTTTGTATATTGGGACTACATTAGCCGTCTTCCAGCTGAGGATGATAATGTGTAGTGTAGATGGTAAGAGTGATGATAGTTGTGTGTGTAGTTAAGATGATTACAGTGAGGAAGACAGTTGTTAGTGAAGACTGACACAGTAATGAGAATGCTCGTGTGTGGTGGTGTAGATGAATACAGTGATTACTGTGTTAATATATGTTGCAATGATGAAGACTGTGTAGTGATGACAGTTACGGGTAAGCTAGTACAGTGATGAAGATAGTGTGTGGTGAAGATGAATACAGTAATGAAGATAGTGTGCAGTGAGGCCCCCGGCCTGTACAACTCTGGTATGAATCTTGTTTTTATATAAAACACAAATTGTGTTTTTAATCTTAGGGAAGATACCAAGACGACTTATGACAACCTACTTCCTAAATATAACAACTCAACTTGTTTCCTTCTCAGATTTTGACCAAAGGTCAGCGCGAGGCCGTGTCAGACTTCCTGATAGCGCTGACGAGAGAGATGCAGCCGGCGGCCCTCCTGCCGCTGCTGCGTAAGCTGACCATCGACGTGTCCAAGCTCTCCGAGTACACCACCGTCGCCCTCAGGGTACACAACACTCTACCCGCACCCTCTACCTTGGCCTTTTATTACATTGTGTCTTATGTTGTAAGTTTGGCCATAACTGTTACAGCAGCAGGAGTGACGGCACATCATAAATATTGAGCAAAGTCTTGGTCTTCAGGCACCTAATGGCAGAATTTAAGGCGTGCGGATTATTATATTTGGAGAAAATAAACAATAATTATCAGATATGGTTAATTTCTTATGTTTGTGTGAACCTCTTCTCATTTTTTTTTCAATTTAAATATATTTAAAACACTTGTTGTCTCCTTTTGTATGTAACAATGCTGTGTAACAGTAGGAAAAGTAGAAGGTGCCAATTCACATTGAACCTGCTCTGAAAGATTAGTGCAGTAGTCAGAACAGTCACCTCACAATTGCATGATCCTGGGTTCGATTCCCCGGCAGGAGGTAGCGTTTGAGCAAGGTAACAGGCAACAGGTAACTTGACCTGTTGCCTCTATTCACCTAAGTGTAAGTAGGTACAATGGAAGTAGGAAAGTATTGCGAGGAAAGGGGAGGGGGGAGAAGCCGAGAGGGAGGAGTATCAAATAAGATTAACAGGCTTCCAATCTCCAACAGTAGGAAACCAATTATTCTGTGTAGGCTCATAATAACTGGCAAGAGTGTTATGGTTAATTTTGGTGGCATTTTGTCCTTTCAGTTGCTGACGCTGCACTACGAGAGGTGCGGCAAGTACTACGGCACCTCCTCCAACACCCCCGGCACCGCCTCCGAGGAGGAGAAGAGACTCACTATGATGCTCTTCACAAACATCTTTGATTCTCTCGCCAAGATGGAGTACGACCCGGAACTGTTTAGCAAGGTGAGTATGGCCCACTACCCCCGCCACCACCCATATTCTTAATGGCCCACTCCCCGCCACCACCCATATTCTTAATGGCCCACTCCCCGCCACCACCCATATTCTTAATGGCCCACTCCCCGCCACCACCCATATTCTTAATGGCCCACTCCCCGCCACCACCCATATTCTTAATGGTCCACTCCCCCGCCACCACCCATATTCTTAATGGTCCACTCCCCGCCACCACCCATATTCTTAATGGCCCACTCCCCGCCACCACCCATATTCTTAATGGCCCACTACCCCGCCACCACCCATATTCTTAATGGTCCACTCCCCCGCCACCACCCATATTCTTAATGGCCCACTCCCCGCCACCACCCATATTCTTAATGGCCCACTCCCCGCCACCACCCATATTCTTAATGGTCCACTCCCCCGCCACCACCCATATTCTTAATGGCCCACTCCCCGCCACCACCCATATTCTTAATGGCCCACTCCCCCGCCACCACCATATTCTTAATGGCCCACTCCCCGCCACCACCCATATTCTTAATGGCCCACTCCCCCGCCACCACCATATTCTTAATGGCCCACTCCCCCGCCACCACCATATTCTTAATGGCCCACTCCCCGCCACCACCATATTCTTAATGGCCCACTCCCCGCCACCACCCATATTCTTAATGGCCCACTCCCCCGCCACCACCATATTCTTAATGGCCCACTCCCCGCCACCACCATATTCTTAATGGTCCACTCCCCCGCCGCCACCATATTCTTAATGGCCCACTCCCCGCCACCACCATATTCTTAATGGCCCACTCCCCGCCACCACCATATTCTTAATGGCCCACTCCCCCGCCACCACCATATTCTTAATGGCCCACTCCCCCGCCACCACCCATATTCTTAATGGCCCACTCCCCGCCACCACCATATTCTTAATGGTCCACTCCCCAGCCGCCACCATATTCTTAATGGCCCACTCCCCGCCACCACCATATTCTTAATGGCCCACTCCCCGCCACCACCATATTCTTAATGGCCCACTCCCCCGCCACCACCATATTCTTAATGGCCCACTCCCCCGCCACCACCCATATTCTTAATGGCCCACTCCCCCGCCACCACCATATTCTTAATGACCCACTCCCCCGCCACCACCATATTCTTAATGGCCCACTCCCCGCCACCACCCATATTCTTAATGGCCCACTCCCCCGCCACCACCATATTCTTAATGGCCCACTCCCCGCCACCACCCATATTCTTAATGGCCCACTCCCCCGCCACCACCATATTCTTAATGGCCCACTCCCCCGCCACCACCATATTCTTAATGACCCACTCCCCGCCATCACCCACATTCTTAATGGTCCACTCCCCCACCACCACCCATATTCTTAATGGTCCTCTTCCCCACCACCACCCACATTCTTAATGGTCCACTACTCCCCACCACCCACATTCTTAATGGTCCACTCCCCCACCACCACCCATATTCTTAATGGTCCACTCCCCCACCACCACCCATATTCTTAATGGTCCACTCCCCCACCACCACCCATATTCTTAATGGTCCACTCCCCCGCCACCACCATATTCTTAATGGCCCACTCCCCCGCCACCACCATATTCTTAATGGCCCACTCCCCCGCCACCACCCATATTCTTAATGGTCCACTCCCCCGCCACCACACATATTCTTAATGGCCCACTCCCCCGCCACCACCCATATTCTTAATGGTCCACTCCCCGCCACCACCCATATTCTTAATGGTCCACTCCCCCGCCACCACCCATATTCTTAATAGTCCACTCCCCACCACCACCCATATTCTTAATAGTCCACTCCCCACCACCACCCATATTCTTAATAGTCCACTCCCCACCATCACCCATATTCTTAATAGTCCACTCCCCACCATCACCCATATTCTTAATAGTCCACTCCCCACCATCACCCATATTCTTAATAGTCCACTCCCCACCACCACCCATATTCTTAATAGTCCACTCCCCACCATCACCCATATTCTTAATAGTCCACTCCCCACCACCACCCATATTCTTAATAGTCCACTCCCCACCACCACCCATATTCTTAATAGTCCACTCCCCACCACCACCCATATTCTTAATAGTCCACTCCCCACCATCACCCATATTCTTAATAGTCCACTCCCCACCACCACCCATATTCTTAATAGTCCACTCCCCACATCACCCATATTCTTAATAGTCCACTCCCCACCACCACCCATATTCTTAATAGTCCACTCCCCACCACCACCCATATTCTTAATAGTCCACTCCCCACCATCACCCATATTCTTAATAGTCCACTCCCCACCACCACCCATATTCTAATAGTCCACTCCCCACCATCACCCATATTCTTAAAGGCTTATCTTAAGTGACCAAGTATTTACACATCTGTAAGTGACCAAATATTTACACTAATACTATTAACAATTGTGCAGGCACTTCCGTGCTTGTCGGCCATCGGGTGCTCGCTGCCGCCCGACTACTCCTTGACCCATGGCCACGAGGACGAGCTCTACAACACCTCCTCCTGCGCCGAGGGACCCTACACGCCCACGCCCATCGACACCACAGAGTAAGACATTTTCTACACCAATGTTGAAGCAATTCTTGTTTACGTGGGATACACAATGTTGTCACTGGATACATGTTTGGAGCAGGACTGGTCATCGAACCAGTGTCCTGCTCCAAAGATGTTATGTATACGGAATGTTCCTGGCCAGAAATTTAGGAGAGAGCTGGCAATGACAGTGAGGTTAAAAATGTGTTAACATTTGTACTGTGTGTCTGCCAATATGCCTATATAGCACTGGGACGGGATATAAGGACAGGGAGTAGGGTCCAAGAGCTAACAGATCGATCATGCAAGTACATATAGTAAATACACTCCTCAGAGATGGTCTGAGAAATAGCCACAAGACTAACCATGACAAATGTAATGTTACGAAGATAGGAATTGGAGCAAGAAGAGTACAGGATGAAGGGAAGTCAACTTTCAACTTCTGAAAAACAGAGAACTTAGCTGTAGATATAATACAAGAACTAAACCAAGAGGCACAGACAACCATTCTGCGGCCTGTATATGCCATCCTGCGGGCTGCGACACTGGCAATAGTCTGGTTATCCTGCAGGACTCTGCATAAAGATACCTGCCAAGGGCTCTATATATGCTTTGTGAGACCCATCATTGTGTATCTTGCCCATGCACGGAACCTCTAGAAGAAGCAAAACAAAACTTGATGGGTCCAAAACTATGCAACAAGGGTCTTTCCTGAGCTAAGGGCAAACTAAGATATGAAGAAAGACTGAAGAAAGTGGAACTCAGTTCCTTCTGGAGGAAAGTTCCAGTTGCACTGGAGCAAAGAAGGAATAGGGTAGACATAATAACGGCGTTTAAGATATCAACAGGACTGACAAAGTAGCTATGGAAGCAGTGTTCAAATTAAGGAACAGTTGAACGAGAGGACTATAATTCAACACTCGAAACACAGATGAGGCATAGAGATGCCAGTCACGTCAAAAAGTAGCACAAACTAAATGGGAAATTTATCAGATCAAAGTAACACAGACTAGATGGAGAAATTATCAGAGCCAATTCCATATACAGTTTTAAATGTACTTATGGCAAGAAAAACAAGTGAAATGAGTTTCTGCAGTGGACTAATGTTGCAACCCGTTCTCGCAAATTTAATAAGTCAATATTGACTTATTAAATATGTGCATAGGTGACATACTTAACATAATAGATACCCTTAAAAAGATTCATAGAAAACACCGACCTTACCTAACCTTGTTAGTATCTTAAGATAAGCATCTTATTGCTTCGTAATTACAATTATTACCTAACCTATAATAGGTATAGGTTAAGTAATAATTGTAATTACGAAGCAATAAGATGCTTATCTTAAGATACTAACAAGGTTAGGTAAGGTCGGTGTTTTCTATGAATCTTTTTAAGGGTATCTATTATGTTAAGTATGTCACCTATGCACATATTTAATAAGTCAATATTGACTTATTAAATTTGCGAGAACGGGTTGGCAACGATGGGCGAGAGGCGGGGCTTGTGAGCAGATGTTAGCCCCTGTCAGCTTAACAAGGCAGATGAGTACACACACACACGGACGTGCACATACACCTCACATATACATACAAGAAAAGTATGTGCAAAAGAGAATCTTTGGTATAATATATTGCCAAGAATTTAAAAAATTGAATTTCTTTTTCCTTTTGCGTGTTGAGTAGCAGTGAGTAGCTGACTTGTTATAAGACTGAAAGACTTGGTGTGAACACTTTTGGGTTCAGACTGTCAAGAAATGTTTATAAATATTATTGCAAATATTCATTCTCTAGAAAGTTTTAGGTGTAATTATATATAAATAAATAACGAATATCTCAATAGGCCGTAAGTTGTGATTGATGAACGCCATAACTAATGTATGAGACTTGACTAATGGGAAGGTGTGTTATGGGTGAACAGTGTGCAGCCAGACCAGGACATCCAGGACCTTATAAAGAAGTTCAGTGAACATAACCACGACGCGTGGGCCTCCCGCAAGTTGGAGAGTGGCTGGGTGTATGGCGACACTTACTCCATCGAGGAGAAGCTCCACCCAAGACTTAAGCCCTTCAGCATGCTCTCTGACTACGTGAGTACCTCTCATCACCCTCTACACCTCTCACTCTCATTCCTTCACCCTACACACTCTACACCTCTCTCTCTCTCATTCCTTCACCCTCTACACCTCTCACTCTCTCTCATTCCTTCACTCTACACACTCTACACCTCTCTCTCTCTCTCTCATTCCTTCACCCTCTACACCTCTCACTCTCTCATTCCTTCACTCTACACACTCTACACCTCTCTCTCTCTCTCTCATTCCTTCACCCTCTACACCTCTCACTCTCTCTCATTCCTTCACTCTACACACTCTACACCTCTCTCTCTCTCTCATTCCTTCACTACACCTCTCACTCTCTCCTCCCTTCACCCTAACACCTACAACATGCTCCCACTCATACCACCAATCATCGTATAATATGTTTTTGTGCGAGTATTATGTGACACATAATATACACCATAGTATTATACAACACATACTCGGTGAGCACCCGGGTTCCCTTCAACACCCTCCAACTTGACCAAATGCTATAATTATGAACACATAACCTACCTCTCTGATGCAATACTTCGCTCATTGTTCAGTACTGAGAGTCACTAAAACATATCGTGTTAATGATGACGTTGACATTCCTACAGGAGCGGGAGCGGTACCGGGAACCCGTGCGGGACGCCATTAAGGCCCTGCTGGCCATCAACTGGAACATTGAGTTCGAGAGTACTGAGGGTGTGAGCACCAGCGGCCGCGAGCAGCTTCACCGTCAGGACACTGTAAGTACCTGCTCACTATCACCGTCACAGCACTGTAAGTACCTGCTCACTATCACCGTCAGGACACTGTAAGTACCTGCTCACTATCACCGTCAAGACACTGTAAGTACCTGCTCACTATCACCGTCACGACACTGTAAGTACCTGCTCACTATCACCGTCACAACACTGTAAGTACCTGCTCACTATCACCGTCACAACACTGTAAGTACCTGCTCACTATCACCGTCACAACACTGTAAGTACCTGCTCACTATCACCGTCACAACACTGTAAGTACCTGCTCACTATCACCGTCACAACACTGATAAAGGTCACTTAGCAATTTTATTGGTCTTGGTGCGTTTCGCTAGGGTTCATTTAGCATCCTCAGAGGCAGAGAAAACTGTCGGTCAAATGTCCTGACACACCTACCTGTATTGTGAAGCTCCGTCAGAAGTACTCTTGTCCCAGTACTGTACTCTTGTCCCAGTACTGCACTCTTGTCCCAGTACTGTACTCTTGTCCCAGTACTGTACTCTTGTCCCAGTACTGCACTCTTGCCCCAGTACTACACTCTTGTCCCAGTACTGTACTCTTGTCCCAGTACTGCACTCTTGCCCCAGTACTACACTCTTGTCCCAGTACTGTACTCTTGTCCCAGTACTGTACTCTTGCCCCAGTACTGCACTCTTGTCCCAGTACTGTACTCTTGTCCCAGTACTGTACTCTTGCCCCAGTACTACACTCTTGTCCCAGTACTGTACTCTTGCCCCAGTACTGCACTCTTGTCCCAGTACTGTACTCTTGTCCCAGTACTGTACTCTTGCCCCAGTACTGCGCTCTTGTCCCAGTACTGCACTCTTGTCCCAGTACTACACTCTTGTCCCAGTACTGTACTCTTGTCCCAGTAATGTACTCTTGCCCCAGTACTGCACTCTTGTCCCAGTACTGTACTCTTGTCCCAGTACTGCACTCTTGCCCCAGTACTACACTCTTGTCCCAGTACTGTACTCTTGTCCCAGTACTGCACTCTTGCCCCAGTACTGTACTCTTGTCCCAGTACTGTACTCTTGCCCCAGTACTGCACTCTTGTCCCAGTACTGTACTCTTGTCCCAGTACTGTACTCTTGCCCCAGTACTACACTCTTGTCCCAGTACTGTACTCTTGTCCCAGTACTGTACTCTTGCCCCAGTACTGCACTCTTGTCCCAGTACTGTACTCTTGCCCCAGTACTGTACTCTTGTCCCAGTACTGTACTCTTGTCCCAGTACTGTACTCTTGCCCCAGTACTGCACTCTTGCCCCAGTACTGCACTCTTGTTTCAGTACTGTACTCTTGTCCCAGTACTGCACTCTTGCCCCAGTACTACACTCTTGTCCCAGTACTGTACTCTTGCCCCAGTACTGCACTCTTGTCCCAGTACTGTACTCTTGTCCCAGTACTGTACTCTTGTCCCAGTACTGTACTCTTGCCCCAGTACTGTAATCTTGTCCCAGTACTGTACTCTTGCCCCAGTACTGTACTCTTGTCCCAGTACTGTACTCTTGTCCCAGTACTGTACTCTTACCCCAGTACTGCACTCTTGCCCCAGTACTACACTCTTGTCCCAGTACTGTAGTCTTGTCCCAGTACTGCACTCTTGTCCCAGTACTACACTCTTGTCCCAGTACTGCACTCTTGTCCCAGTAATACACTCTTGTCCTAGTACTACATTCTTGTCCCAGTACTACACTCTTGTACCAGTACTGCACTCTTGTCCCAGTAATACACTCCTGTCCCAGTACTACACTCTTGTCCCAGTACTGTACTCTTGTCCCAGTAATACACTCTTGTCCCAGTACTGCACTCTTGTCCAAGTACTGCACTCTTGCCCCAGTACTACACTCTTGTCCCAGTACTGCACTCTTGTCCCAGTACTGTACTCTTGTCCCAGTACTGTACTCTTGCCCCAGTACTGTACTCTTGTCCCAGTACTGCACACTTGTCCCAGTACTGCACTCTTGTCCCAGTACTACACTCTTGTCCCAGTACTACACTTGTCCCAGTACTACATTCTTGTCCCAGTACTGTACTCTTGTCCCAGTACTACACTTGTCCCAGTACTACACTCTTGTCCCAGTACTACACTCTTGTCCCAGTACTACATTCTTGTCCCAGTACTGTACTCTTGTCCCAGTACTACACTTGTCCCAGTACTACACTCTTGTCCCAGTACTACACTCCTGCCCCAGTACTGTACTCTTGTCCCAGTACTGTACTCATGCCCCAGTACTGCACTCTTGTCCCAGTACTACACTCTTGCCCCAGTACTGCACTCTTGTCCCAGTACTACACTCTTGTCCCAGTACTACACTCTTGTCCCAGTACTACACTCTTGTCCCAGTACTGCACTCTTGCACCAGTACTGCACTGCACTCTTGTCCCAGTACTGCACTCTTGTCCCAGTACTACACTCTTGTCCCAGTACTGTACTCTTGTCCCAGTACTGCACTCTTGTCCCAGTACTACACTCTTGTCCCAGTACTGTACTCTTGTCCCAGTACTTCACTCTTGTCCCAGTACTACACTCTTGTCTCAGTACTGCACTCTTGTCCCAGTACTACGCTCCTGTCCCAGTACTACATTATTGTCCCAGAACTGCACTCTTGTCCCAGTACTGCACTCTTGTCCCAGTACTGTACTCTTGTCCCAGTACTGTACTCTTGCCCCAGTACTACACTCTTGTCCCAGTACTACACTCTTGTCCCAGTACTGCACTCTTGTCCCAGTACTGCACCATTGTCCCAGTACTGCACTCTTGTCCCAGTACTACACTCTTGCCCCAGTACTACACCCTTGTCCCAGTACTGCACCCTTGTCCCAGTACTGCACCCTTGTCCCAGTACTGCACTCCCCCAGTACTACACTCTGGTCCCAGTACTGTACTCTTGTTCCAGTACTGCACTCTTGTCCCAGTACTGCACTCTTGTCCGAGTACTGCACTCTTGTCCCAGTACTGCACTCTTGTCCCAGTACTGCACTCCCCCAGTACTGCACTCTTGTCCCAGTACTGCACTCTTGTCCCAGTACTGCACTTTTGTCCCAGTACTGCACTCCCCCCAGTACTGTACTCTTGTCCCAGTACTGCACTTTTGTCCCAGTACTGTACTCTTGTCCCAGTACTACACTCTTGTCCCAGTACTGCACTCTTGTCCCAGTACTGCACTCTTGTCCCAGTACTGCACTTTTGTCCCAGTACTGTACTCTTGTCCCAGTACTACACTCTTGTCCCAGTACTGCACTCTTGTCCCAGTACTGCACTTTTGTCCCAGTACTGCACTCTTGTCCCAGTACTACACTCTTGTCCCAGTACTGTACTCTTGTCCCAGTACTGCACTCTTGTCCCAGTGCTGTACTCTTGCCCCAGTACTGTACTCTTGTCCCGGTACTACACTCTTGTCCCAGTACTGTACTCTTGTCCCAGTACTGCACTCTTGTCCCAGTACTGTACTCTTGCCCCAGTACTGTACTCTTGTCCCAGTACTACACTCTTGTCCTAGTACTACACTCTTGCCCCAGTACTGCACTCTTGTCCCAGTAATGCACCCTTGTCCCAGTACTGCACTCTTGTCCCAGTACTGCACCCTTGCCCCAGTACTGCACTCTTGTCCCAGTACTACACTCTTGTCCCAGTACTACACTCTTGCCTCAGTACTGCACTCTTGTCCCAGTACTGCACTCTTGTCCCAGTACTGCACTCTTGTTCCAGTACTACACTCTTGCCCCAGTACTACACTCTTGTCCCAGTACTGCACCCTTTTCCCAGTACTACACTCTTGACCCAGTACTACACTCTTGTCCCAGTACTACACTCTTGCCTCAGTACTGCACTCTTGTCCCAGTACTGCACTCTTGTCCCAGTACTGCACTCTTGTCCCAGTACTACACTCTTGCCCCAGTACTACACTCTTGTCCCAGTACTACACTCTTGCCCCAGTACTACACTCTTGTCCCAGTACTGCACCCTTGTCCCAGTACTACACTCTTGTCCCAGTACTACACTCTTGCCCCAGTACTGTACTCTTGCCCCAGTACTGTACTCTTGTCCCAGTACTACACTCTTGTCCCAGTACTGTACTCTTGTCCCAGTACTGCACTCTTGTCCCAGTACTGCACTCTTGCCCCAGTACTGCACTCTTGTCCCAGTACTGTACTCTTGCCCCAGTACTGTACTCTTGTCCCAGTACTACACTCTTGTCCCAGTACTGTACTCTTGTCCCAGTACTGCACTCTTGTCCCAGTACTGTACTCTTGCCCCAGTACTGTACTCTTGTCCCAGTACTACACTCTTGTCCCAGTACTGCACTCTTGCCCCAGTACTGCACTCTTGTCCCAGTACTGCACCCTTGTCCCAGTACTGCACTCTCCCAGTACTGCACTCTTGTCCCAGTACTGCACCCTTGCCCCAGTACTGCACTCTTGTCCCAGTACAACCCTTATGTCCCAGTACTGCACCCTTTTCCCAGTACTACACTCTTGTCCCAGTACTACACTCTTGTCCCAGTACTGCACTCTTGTCCCAGTACTACACTCTTGTCCCAGTACTACACTCTTGTCCCAGTACTGCACTCTTGTCCCAGTACTGCACTCTTGTCCCAGTACTGCACTCTTGTCCCAGTACTACACTCTTGCCCCAGTACTACACTCTTGTCCCAGTACTGCACCCTTTTCCCAGTACTACACTCTTGTCCCAGTACTACACTCTTGTCCCAGTACTACACTCTTGCCCAGTACTGCACTCTTGTCCCAGTACTGCACTCTTGTCCCAGTACTGCACTCTTGTCCCAGTACTACACTCTTGCCCCAGTACTACACTCTTGTCCCAGTACTACACTCTTGCCCCAGTACTACACTCTTGTCCCAGTACTGCACCCTTGTCCCAGTACTACACTCTTGTCCCAGTACTACACTCTTGCCCCAGTACTGTACTCTTGCCCCAGTACTGTACTCTTGTCCCAGTACTACACTCTTGTCCCAG